GTAAAGTGGCAAAAACAGTAAATAGTAGACATATCAAGACAGTGCCTCACAAATTCAGGTAAATCTAATGACATTGGGCATACCTAACAACCGCAAACACTAAATGCAACGGGGTTCAGCAGGGAAGGTCGCTGAGGCCTTCAGTTTCTACACTTTGTTAACGTATCTGATCTGACCCATTGATAGTAAGATGAAGACATTTGGTTTGATATTTAATTTTGTAAAGACCCAGTTTTTCTAAATATGTTGATGCCGATATCATGTTAACGCAGTGTATCTGACCCATTGATAGTAAGATGAAGACATTTGGTTTGATATTTAATTTTGTAAAGACCCAGTTTTTCTAAATATGTTGACAAAATGCCGATATCAAATAAAACATGGTTATACGCAAGCAAAGCATCAGTGTTCTCGCCTGGCGTTGCCATCAGTGATGATGAGAAAATGATCAGATAACTGGAGTTTCTCTCCACGTGAAAAGATACGCGTCTTAAGGAAAAGCCAAGACTGGATGAGCTTTATGAAACACCTGCCTTCTACCCATACTAGGCTTAGTTGAAATATGCATATGATATTAGCTCCCAAAAACAGACATTGGTATCCAGAAGCGATATTGAAAGCAGCTTAAGTATTGATTAACGAGGAGGTGGAACACAGGATGAGTGCGACAACAAAAAACTAGAGCAAAACTCTAGCGCAGTCCCCATAACCTGAATTATGTGATCTGTCGTATCTGTATTCATCGCTCCAAGTAACATTAGACTGAGGAATCACCCAATGGCGGACGACAATACCAATCAATATCTAACCTTGTATCATTCTTGTTGGAAAGTCTTGTCAGATTGAAAAAAATTAGGAATCCATATGGTAGATGGTAGACTACAATTAGCTGACTTTCATCATCATCGCGAGTCAAAATAATCCGTCTTTATAACGACATAAAACGCGTGTTGATCAACATGTTGGTGATAGATGCAGTCTAGTCACAAGGTGCGTGTTGGCATCAGTGAAAATCGGCGCGCACACACACACACAAACGTGTGTTTAAACATCACAACCACCCACGCACAGTACCCTTGGTTGTCGGTTCAGTCAATCCAGGCTTCATCTCTCCGTGCGTCCCGACGCAAATGTTGCGCACGTGAAATTGTCGCAGTGGCTGTTTTCCTGTTACGGTCACATGGTTTGCGTGCCAAACTGATCTGACTGACAAAAACGCCGGCAGCCTGCTGTGCTTCGCCACATTAGCTGACCAGGTTCAATGGTCAGCGACAACGAGCCAGCTATTGTCTGAATGAATGACCTAACTTACATATTCAGGCTTACAAATTACGACATACATTTGCAGCAACACGTTGCCAAAAGACTTCACTCAACCAGTCGCTCCAGAAAAAAAACAGTTAAATTTTGAAAATTCATTCCAACACTGTAAAGTTGTGTCCTCGGCTTTTAAATGATGCGAAATGAAATCGTTCAGCTGTAACACCCTTCCGGTGCCTAGAAGCCATGCTACCTGAAGCACGAGGGCTGGGATACTGCCATGTTGCCCAGGGGAAGTCGATAGGTAGAGGCCGGGTTCGAACCACGGACCTTCCGGTCGGTAAATTTGCGCTCTAACCACTTGAGTCATCTCGCAAAATGTGGGTATGCAAACCGTGACGCAGACTCCAAATACACTGTCTGTCAAAAACTGTCGTTTCCTCAACCTAATCTATGCCATATTGAAGGGTGCCGATTGAAAAGTAAAGTGTCTCCTATGTATGACACCACTGCCACCTCGTTTCACATGTACTAACTTATAATAACCTATACATTAGCCTATACAGCGACAAAACGTTCAGAAGGCCGCCTCGATTGAGAGTAACCAACAGATTTTCCTTTTGGATATGGTTTACTGCGCAATGCTTTCCGAAGAGAACTATCACCCCAAAGGGCCATATAAACCGCTTCCCATAATGGTCTGTATTGGGTGATGGTCGCTTGCAGAAAATCACAGCCACTGTCGTGAATGGGTGGGTTCCGTGGACGGATTCCACTCAATGAATACCACGCTTACGGTTATTCGGAAAAAGTGCGGAGTTCGTTTTGAAATCTCGAGAAACGTTTGTTGGCTGCACTAAATCCTTTCTACTTGGCAAAAAAAGCAATAACCGAAGGTTTACCTTTCCACAATTCGAGAAAGCAATCATATCATTAATTATGTTGCCATGAATTCGTACAACGTTTTGAGCATGTGATTTAGCTCAGCGTCACGTTTAAGGGTGTGACGCCAGCGCACAGTAGACTTGGTCAGTTGCTGACGACACTGAAATCATATGTGCCTCATCAGATGAAAACAAAGTTCAAAACCTAATTGGAATTTACAGGCCGTGCAAAATGTTGGTAAGTGCGTGTCCGTGCAGAAAGCATCTTCAAATCGCCGACCAAGAGGTCACATGTGAGGTCACTCTAATGAGTATCAATAAGGACGGAAAAAACCGTCCAACTGGGCTTTTCGCGATTCGCTCTGGAAGCCTCTTATCATGAAAAAAAAACAACCAGATCTAGTCAACGAACCAACACTGACTACAGAAGCTTGGGCTAAAATGTACTGGCAACGCAATTCCGTCACTAGTGAGCGGAAATGGACCAACAACAACTATGGTACACACCTATCTTCCAATAAGCGAAGATGCATGTGAATGAAATCCATATGATGTACGAATTACCAATCGACTCAGCATTTCCATATATGAAAAGACGCCCATTCATCACGAATACTGACAATCTCTCTATCGCCACTCCATCCCTCTCCTGAGCGACCTCGCTTTATCACTCCCGTATAGCCTCCTACTAATCCCACCCCCCATGAGGAACTCCAGACTGACTAAGCGATGGAACAGTGACTCTCAGTTTGCTGTTGTCGAAAGATGAAAGGGTACCCCTGTGTCCAGACAACGTCATCCGTCTCTTGATCACGGTCAGTCACGATCAATTATCAAGGCGTAATGCAGAACCTCAAGCCGCCTGTCAATACTGTTCCACAGACCAACTTATCTTACTGCTGTTCAACCAGTACCCCAATCCTGTTCTGATCAGTAGTAGCCAACTGTTCTTCCGCATCTATACGATCAACAGGTTGGCGACAAATTACACTACGTGGGCTGTTGATACCTAAATAAACTGTTGTCTGGGAATAAGAGGAAGTGTGCGGTGAACAAAATGACATGCACACATGAAAGGCTGTTTCGTCATACGGCTAGCGATTTGGTAGTGGACATTCGTCTAAAACCGGAAGTACAAAGAATCACGTCAAGGTGACAATAACTCCAATTTATCAAAGGTGAAGCTGACGTATGAAGAGTACTTTTTTAGATTGATTTGACGAATGCTGATAAAACACAGCTCTTGTCGTTGCGCGTATCTGGAATGAGCCCGAGGACAACTTGTGATAAATTCGGAGTAAACGTCTGAAAACAAAACGCTTCAGTAACTACTGTCTAGAAGCTGAAAAACGCCCTTAACAGACGTGTTTTATTGCAGAGAGGAAAGTTCTAAGCCCCCAGCATGGAGCGACAACATTACAACTAGAACTCGGCGCAAAACTGACAACGCATAAATGCACACAACTCAGCGAGAAAGCTAATCCAAAAGGCATTAAAACGGAGAGCTGATCGTTGCATAATACTTTGGCTCAATCCACGCAAGTTCTCCAGAACCGCTGCTTAGAAACTAGAGGATCATGACTAGTTGCTGCAAAGAGTGATGCGGAAAGATTCGCCATTGTCTGGAGACGTGTTTGGTGATGGGCCGGCATTCTGCATTGATTGTGGTGCAGACATTAGGAAGCATGTTTACTGGGCTCAGGAAAACTCCAGAATTCTGCTGGCAACACATTACAGAACTGGAAACCCAAATATTAGTTGGAATTCACGGCGATAAAAGCATTGATACACGGCTGCACTAAACTTCCGCTGTTCGGCGGGGGGAGCAGTCAAGATGTTGGGGTTGGGTTCGGACAATGGACCTCTCGATCCGTAAGCTTGTGCCTTAACCACTAACCTATGGCAGTGTGCACAAAATGGAAGGTGACAGCACCATGCATAAGGAACTAAAAGGAATTGGAGTTGATAAGTCAATTACGTGGACAAATCCAGCAAAATGTCTATCTTGGATCATTCCATGCAGAAACTGCATACGAACGCTAATCAGATATCAACGGTTGGTGGGTTATTCCTAAGATTCAGATGGAAATCAAGGTGTACCTGATCAGAACACGTTTACTCTACGGACTGTAAGAATGTGAGTCACATAGTCAGACGAAAGTCCACAGAAAAATCGACCAATTAAGCACAAACCTGAAGAGTGTAGGCTGAGTGTGACGACAAAGACAACAAATTTGACACGCGTTTGACGCAGATTATAGTTCAGATAACGAAAGTCACATGAGTAATGGTATATTCTCTGCTTAACGGCCGACAGCCGCAGCGAAATCCCGAGAATTTTAAAAATATCAAACCCATCACATTAGGCTAGCGGTGGTGCGCTAAAACCATGTATGAAACCTGTGTACTGCAAAACTTACAAGAAACGAAAGATAAACAGCTTCAACCACTATGTCGAACCGCAGTGTTCTCTACCGTCCTTACTCGAAAACTACAGGTGATGAACTGTTGATAATGTTTAACGATCATCGAAGGAGCCACACTGCTTGTACCGGACGGCAAGGTTAAGAACAAATCATCAGCCAGTACTTGATCGTACTGCAAATACTATATCCGGATGTTTGTTCTGGCTGTCAGACCGAGTTACGACATTCAGACAGAGCAGTGGGGCTTATTACAAATACACTGGCAAATTGCTATCAGCTACCACAGCTACAGTAACTGACAATATGCACGTACGATTAGTCAAACGATTTGAGGGCAAAATATCGAAGACCACAATAATGCAACAAACGTCACCTGCACGATGAGTTACGGCGTTAGGTGTGTTAATTAACGAAACAATAGGACCTAAGATACTACACAAACAACCACGAGAGTAATACCTGGTTCGATCCCAGCATGTGTATCGTCCGCTTTCGGATATGGAAAAAAGTTTGGCTGTAATCCATTTTGTAGCCAAGGCCGCGATAGAGTTTCTTTAGTGGTGGCCTCTGTTTTGACTAGCGTTGTTGTTGGTGCCAAAGACTGGGAGTGTGTGTGTGACGAGTTCGTAAGCATCGAAAGCTATGCTGCATAGATCGTGTGGTAGGCCGTGAGACATAAACCTAAATTAGAAAGGGAATCGGATGTTAGTATTCAACACAATACAGTTGGCTTTATCAATAATGGGGACCGTCTCTGGAACATGGTCGTTTGGGCTGATCTTTCCCCAAAAGATCGACTGAATAGTCTGTTTTGAAGCGAATAAAGGCCCATCCTAAATGCTTTCTAAGTTTCTTAGCTACTTTTTAAAGAGCTGTCGTGTCGTTTCAGTCTGGTACCTCCACCATTCGGCTCGTTTGCAACGTACTTGCATAGCACTTGGCAATGAGTATGGCAATGAGTATCGCGAAATGCCCTTTTCCTAAAAGCACAATAATTCGAGAAAATCCGCCGAGTGACTAGTTTGTGGGTTTATGCATCAGTGTGTTGCTAGTCGTGATTAGCTGGCTCGTGCTTCTTTAGTCGACCGTCACAGCATCTCTTCATCACTGGAAGGACGTCGTTTGTGACATACCATCAAACACCTATTTCCGGGCACTCTGAAGTTGATGTTATGATTAACTCTTATGCTCTCCCGGTAACCAAATATAATCCACGATTCTCTTCTACCTCAGTGCCATGATGAATAAGTCCACCTGAATTGTTGACAATCTGTGGTTGTTCACTTTTGAACTGTCAGAATGCTGAAGACCAAAGTAGTAGTTGAAGAGTAAATTTATCGGCGACTAAGGGAATTCGTCTGGGACGATCTTTTAAAAAACAAGCGATTCTTGCGTCCAATCGATGGAGTGCTCGAGTTTCTGTGGAAGTGGGGTAGGCCCAAGTACTGGGAATCAGCAAGCATCCTTGCGTGGACAAAATAGAGGACATAGAATTGACTGGCATGTGAAGGGCGAGTTTAGAATAGCCGAGCTGACCTGTGGCGGCAAGTGCTTACCACTGAAGAGCAGTTATCGACCCAACGAGCAAGGCTCAAAAGTAATCTGCACCATCATATGACCAAATCGTTGTAACGCTTGGTAATCCATATGGACCAACTAAATCCGTAAACGATGCCTATGAGGAATCAGCAACTGGATCCGAAGAAGGAGACTCTAGGCAACCCCATATCGCGTAGCTTTCTTCTTCAAACCCATTAGTGGTAAGACTTAACCATCTATATCAGTCAAAAAGGACTCCTAACTGACATCCAACATTGACTCAGCCCGCCAGTTGAGATCTCGACCATAGGTTCTCCGCCTTCCCATAACTCCACCTACCCAGTGATTTACTCACCAGGTTTGGTAAAGATTATATGTCCTCAAGCCATAAACGAGTAGATATTTCATCAAACCCATCCGAAATGAAGAGCTCTCGATCGATCCTAAGCGTCAAAGACTACTCGAATATAGGCTTGATCCAAAATTTATTGAGAATTGGAAGATATTATTAACTTTAAGTGGCTCGCGACCGGCGCTATAGTAAACGCACAGTGATCAAGTCTTCTACAAAGTGAAGTTGATAGTCCCGGAGATGCACACTTGAGTGTTACGCCAAAATATTAGTGGAGCTGCATTTTCATCATATTGCAGAATAGGTCTGAGAATTGCTTTGAGAATTAGTATATTCAGCGAGTTGCCATCAATCCCACAGAACCGAATACTCTTCATGGGGTTCTGAAGATACCACTCTGTAAACAGTGATCGTCTGCACCTTTACTCCAAACGTGCCTCAGTTTACCAGAACTCGGTCTTTGTTCCCGGTGGCACCGCTACCATCGAGCTCCCACGTGCATTACTTGCAGCAGAAGGAATTTTGTCTTAGTAACTATGCCTTCAAGTTGACGAGCTTGCTCTGTTTAATATGCTCATGCACTGCGTTGTCATTCTTGTGGTCACCCCTGTCTGACAGGACTACGGTTGAGCCGCAGGTGGTAGCCAGTACAAACAGTGACGTCTCATGAAATAACGACTAACTGATGGGTTAGTGTTTTGGATCACCGGAACGAACGAAGTTGGATGTGGTATCAATCGTCGAGATGCACCTCTCAGATATGCAGTGCACGTGGTGCTCAACTGCATGATACCCATCAGCTGCGAAGTTAAATGATACTTTGACCGAATCAGATTCGGGTCGAATACTAATGTACGGATAATTCTGTACGCGACACGGATTCCTGCTCTGCCCACATGGCAAAATACAGATCCACTTTAAGCACTGCTAAGCTAACGGACCCTAGTGGAGGTGGGATACTCCGAATGAGCTTTTAGTGGAGTCAGAGGTTATCAGTAGACAACTCACGCTCTTGAACTATAATCAGGAACATGACTATGTTTAGCCAATCTTGCCAATAAATGGAGCTGTGGGCAAGAGTCTTAAGGGGGCTTATCCTCGGATAGTCAGTATGAACTGCTGATCCGCAGCACCCTTTCGGTGCTTAACTGCCATGCCAGCAGAAGGAAGCAGGAGGGATGGGATATTGCCAGGTTACCCAAACCTAGACAGGGGTAGTCGAGTGGCAGAGGTCGGGTTCGAACAACAGACCTTCGGGTCAGTAAATACCCACTCAAACCACTGAGCCATCTCGCGCTCTCTCGGTCTTCTGAAACGTTTCAAGACGCTCGAGATCAATCTTCAAGAACCGATGCCAAGTCAACATATGTGCTTTTTCTATTCGCACCCTGAAGCAATCAAAACAAGCTTCTCTTTCTAACAATGAACTGGTTTAACATGTGTGTGCTGTGAGTCAGAAGCAAGAATTCAGAACGCAGGCACAGTAATCGGGCTAACTGTCCCAGCACTCTCCACTCGTTTCAGGCCATGCACCCCTGGCGATCCAGAACCCACTGCGGATGATTGCGCAGCGATCCTAATTCAGCGATGGGAAGGGTACTTGTTTCACTGGATAGCGATTGACAATCGCCTCTTTACGGTTCGTCTGGAAAAGTCCGTGAGGGAGTCTCACAGGCGGAAAGTTGACCACCGTCTTCTTAGGTCCCAACCAACTTTAGCGCTGACACCTGTGACGGCAAGTTTTATAGCGCCCTAAATGCCCCCTTACGGCGAGCTAAAAGCTCAAATATCATTTTGGTCGTCGAAGATCAGAATACACGAGTGGGCAGGCTTAGCGCATCTGAGACTCATTAGGTGGTTGACATGGATTGCTCTCGGTACGTATGGACAATGGTGAACGACCGCTTTAGCAGTGTATTGACCATAAGTTGTCTTTGTGTAGTATAAACTTTCAAAATAACCGAGGTTGTTTGGTTACATAGTGTCCTCCAAAAACGTGCCGGCTACAAACTCAAATTGTTCACATTGCCATCACTTACTGATAGCGCGGATCAACAATCGACTGCCGCTGGTTTCTGGGACAGATTGGCGGATTTTGACCACGCGACCGTCTGGAGTCTATTCTCCCTTCGTTTTCCACGGACGCGTAGGGTGAAGACGAAACGCTTAGCAACTGAGAGACAGGTAGATGTGGATGTTAGACGACTTTACCAGAATCGACTTCTGGAGTCTCTTCCGAATGCTCCACTAACAGGTATGAATTCACCCTGGAACGAGAGTGCTACCTCTTTGTAAAGTGCTGGGAGTTTTGCTATCAGGCTCACTCAAGCAGTGGATATCGAACCGAACAGTGGCATTGCTTAAATCTCGGATAAATATCCCAGCCATTCGCAAGCATAACTTCACGCGACGAATTACCAGACGTCAAGTGTAAGTGAGCATGAAGTCTGGTGGACACAAAAAGCCAAGGAAATAGGGGAGGTCTAGAGAGGTAATGTCTTAAGATTATTCCAGTTGATACGCGCGACCTGGTTCAGATGACTTCCCACTCGCATTGAAGTTCTCAGTCAGCACTTGTCTGATGCTTGCTGTCACTTGGGGAAAGGAGACTGTCCCAGACAACTGGGGAGAGTCGGTGATAGTGACCATTTCCAAAAAGGGTTTGTAGTAAGTGTGGTCACTACAGGGGGATCAGCTTGACCCTGGTCGTAACGAGACTGCTTCACCGCCTTATGGTGGCTCATGAAGCACTGACTCGAGAGCAGCAAGCGGAATTCCGGACTGGTGGGGGATACACTGACCAAGTCTTCACCTGGCTCCGTCAGGTACTGGAAAAACGCCATACGTACAAACAACCCACAATTTCAGTACTCCTGGGTTTCGTTGGAGCATCCGACTCGGCTGACCGGTCTATTTTCCTTAAACCGCTGGCCCATCAAGGAATGCCCCGAAGATTTGTGAACATAATACGCCCTTGGTATTCTCAGAGTTTCATACTGGTGGGAGAATATGGAGAGCTACCTAAAGGGTTTCGGACTGTTGGGGATATCAATATCCCCCAAAAAACGCTGTGTTTTTATGTGCGCTCGCGAACTTCCGGCAACTTTAAGGTCAAACTATGAACAGGTCAGTGGCCTATTGATATTCCAAGAGATTTAAATCCGACCACTTACTTACACGATACCATCGTTTTACTGACTTGCGTTCGGAAACTCGGGGCATCGCCTGTTGATCGCGTGTTTTTGGACCATTGAAGTTTGTGTCCGAGGTTTTCGTCTTCTTACTATCCGCCGTGCTAGGAGTCTGGATCAAGCAACACAGCTGGGGATAGAGTATTGCCACAATCCGCATATCATATTGTTTGCTCGCTGCGTGACCGAACCGTAACACGGACACAAAGTGTATCCGTCAAGGGTGCCCGCTTTTTCCATTCCTATTTAATTTCGTGGTCGGTGAGATAATGAGGCGAGACATTGAAGGTCTTTAAAACCTCGGTGTTTAAATGGCCTGCGACGAAAACTTCATCGATCGGTAATGAACAGACGTCATCGTTCTCGTCTTCGAACAGAAGAATGTGCGGGAGTTTTTGGATGAACCGACTAATGTCATCCCTTCCTTTGGTATGCACCGTGCACCCACAAAGTGTAAGGTCATGCTCGTGGACATGCAGTCGCTAAACGCGCCGCTTACAATTCAAGGAGAGACCCGAAGTTGTGGAGCACTTTACGTATCTTTGATGTTTTATTGGTTCTGACTGTAGTGAGATTCACAGATGAGTAAAATGCACGAATCTGCAAGGCTCGGGTCACGTCTGCAAATCCGAGACACCTATGGCGTCCAAACGGTATATCCCTGAATCTAAAGGGACGTGTGTATCAGGCTACGTACGGGCTGTTTTAGTGTATGGCTGTAGAACTTGACCAGCTCGAGTAGCAGAACTGAGACGTCTTCAGGTGTTCGACAATCATTGTCTCAGGACCATAGCCTATGTGGTTTGGTGTAGGTATGTATTGGTTATGTATTGCGCATGCCGAGCCATTGCCGATCAGTGATATTCGCCCTTAAAAGGCGAAACCGGTCGTGGGCTGCCGACGGATTTTCAGCAACCTTATGAGTAGTACATTACAAAGATATACATGTATCGCGATATCTCGAATATCGTAGCGACTAAAACATGAGGCGGCCTGGTGCAGCACATTCAGTTGCCTGAGAACATCACAAACGAGAGATTCAGCTGGGCTCCAGGTGAGTCTCTCGAAAAACCAAATTAGTTTGCGAATGAGTGTATATTCGCTAAAATAACACCCTATTAAATCCACGAGGTCCTTTCTACACGGGAGCTTTTAATGTCCGTACTCTATGTCAAACAGGAAAACAGGCAATGCTCACGGAAACCGTATCATCATCATCATCATCATCATCATCATCATCATCATCATCATCATCATCATCATCATCATCATCATCATCATCATCATCGACAGCATGACATCAGTGTTCAACACCGATGCTTCACTGCCGTATACTACCGTATACTCTCTTAATATTGATGTATGCTGTCTCCGAAACACACTTATGAGACCCAGGATGCCAAGGATGAACTCAGCTCTTTCACAGTTCTCCCTCCGTGCTTCCGGTGACCCAGAAGCGATGACTCGTGGAATATGTGGCGTGAAGGTCGCACTCAGCCCCGGAGCTGAATGCCCTTTGCTGGATTGGGTTCCAGTGAACAATCGTCTTTGCGCCGCTCAATGCCCCTCGGCATAAAAAGCGGTGCCTGTTTGCAGTGTGGGTGGACACGAATACTAACCCCATGAATGAAGAGTAGGCGACTGAGGTAGTACAAAGTTTGTCTCCCTTGGCGGTTCCATCAGCCGCGGTGGTATCGCGAAAAATGATATTTTCATCCGGATTGGGAAGGCCAGAGCAGCATTTGTGAGGCTGCGCCACCTTAGGTGTAGGCGTGACAGCCTAACCGTCAAGAGCCGGGTTTACAATGCTGTGGGGCGCTCCGTCTTACAGTATGGATCGGAAAACTGGCCGCTGCGCGCTGAGGACTTCAAAGGACTTTCAGCGTTTGACCATCGATGTCTTCGGGGCATTGCCCGAGTCTGGTGAGATCACCAGATAGATGAACTGATCATCTGCATAAGTTGCGCTGGTTTGGCCACGTGCTGCGTATGCCAATCGACCGATTTCCTCGGAAGGTTCTTTTTCCACAACCACGTGAAGAGCAGAAACGAGCCAGAGGCGGTCGAACGATGGCTTGGCAGCGAAGTAGAAAAGCTATTAAAAGCGAACTCAGCTGCACCGGTCATTGCCATTTTCCTGAATGGGGACCCTGAGACGGGCCACATTAATCGTTTGAGACATTATCAGACGTGGCCCGGTCGCGCCCTCGACGGCGCTTTTGCATCCAAGCCATTGCCTTCAGTGCATAGCTCCCTTCCCAATCTCCCCACTTAACAGTCCACTGACTGTTGTATTTAAGCCCCAAATTATCAGCTCCCGCCTCCAATGCACAGCTACCTACCTCACCTCCCCAAATCATCGGTGAACGAAACTGTGGCAGCTACAACCACTGTACAAGTACGCGGTTCTTACATCTGACGACGATGATGATGATGTAGCTCCCATACAGTAGATACTATGAGCCATTGTATCAAGAGCAGGCACCCTCATCATCATCATCATCATCATCATCATCATCATCATCATCATCATCGACAGCATGACATCAGTGTTCAACACCGATGCTTCACTGCCGTATACTACCGTATACTCTCTTAATATTGATGTATGCTGTCTCCGAAACACACGTATGAGACCCAGGATGCCAAGGATGAACTCAGCTCTTTCACAGTTCTCCCTCCGTGCGTCCGGTGACCCAGAAGCGATGACTCGTGGAATATGTGGCGTGAAGGTCGCACTCAGCCCCGGAGCTGAATGCCCTTTGCTGGATTGGGTTCCAGTGAACAATCGTCTTTGCGCCGCTCAATGCCCCTCGGCATAAAAAGCGGTGCCTGTTTGCAGTGTGGGTGGACACGAATACTAACCCCATGACTGAAGAGTAGCCGACTGAGGTAGTACAAAGTTTGTCTACCTTGGCGGTTCCATCAGCCGCGGTGGTATCGCGAAAAATGATATTTTCATCCGGATTGGGAAGGCCAGAGCAGCATTTGTGAGGCTGCGCCACCTTAGGTGTAGGCGTGACAGCCTAACCGTCAAGAGCCGGGTTTACAATGCTGTGGGGCGCTCCGTCTTACAGTATGGATCGGAAAACTGGCCGCTGCGCGCTGAGGACTTCAAAGGACTTTCAGCGTTTGACCATCGATGTCTTCGGGGCATTGCCCGAGTCTGGTGAGATCACCAGATAGATGAACTGATCATCTGCATAAGTTGCGCTGGTTTGGCCACGTGCTGCGTATGCCAATCGACCGATTTCCTCGGAAGGTTCTTTTTCCACAACCACGTAAAGAGCAGAAACGAGCCAGAGGCGGTCAAACGATGGCTTGGCAGCGAAGTAGAAAAGCTATTAAAAGCGAACTCAGCTGCACCGGTCATTGCCATTTTCCTGAATGGGGACCCTGAGACGGGCCACATTAATCGTTTGAGACATTATCAGACGTGGCCCGGTCGCGCCCTCGACGGCGCTTTTGCATCCAAGCCATTGCCTTCAGTGCATAGCTCCCTTCCCAATCTCCCCACTTAACAGTCCACTGACTGTTGTATTTAAGCCCCAAATTATCAGCTCCCGCCTCCAATGCACAGCTACCTACCTCACCTCCCCAAATCATCGGTGAACGAAACTGTGGCAGCTACAACCACTGTACAAGTACGCGGTTCTTACATCTGACGACGATGATGATGATGTAGCTCCCATACAGTAGATACTATGAGCCATTGTATCAAGAGCAGGCACCCAAAGAGCGAGATTTGAAGCCCATGTGCTCGTTCTAGGTTCATGTGGAATAACACTAGCAGCGCGCCCAAAGGTTGCTAGGAAGACAAGTGCAGTCCGAAAGACTGGATCACTGGAGCGCATCAGAATTACTCAATCATCACTCAGCAATTTACCGGCAATAAGTGTCAATGCTCAACGGCCATTTCAGTAAGTCCTCGGAAGCACTGTTGACGACTTGAAAATAGCCCAAATGTAAACCGATGAAACTTTAACAGACATAGGACACAACTTACCATCAACAAAGAAACGGACAAGCCGCGTGTACCAACCACTCTTTGAAGGCAATACTGAGGATTCTCTTTGAAGTATACGGGACACAGAACTGGGACCTGGTAATGCCACGCTTCCTACTAGCCTGCGCGTCAACTTGGAATTCGCCTCAGAACACGATTGTTGGCCGATCCAGAAACACACACAATACCGCTCCAACTAGGATAACAAGGGAAGCTACTGAACGCGGTTCCAACTGCAGATGTTGAAAATTAAACAGGATATCCCTAGATTCAGTCGCCACTCCAATGCAACTCACGGTATCTGACGGCCGGAGTCAGATTTCAGCCGTCTCAAGCCTACGACGATCGAATTTACTACGTGTCCGTCCCATTCGACATAGCTTAGCAAGTGGAAGTTCGGCTGAGATTCCACAACCAAGTCTATCGTTTCAAGTGTTGAATTGAACGTTTGGAGACGAAAGGAAACAGCATAGCACCGAAAGACAAAAGATCAGCCAACCTCTAAATCACTGTCATTCAAACGCTTCACATCTGGAGTTGTGAATGTGATGAGGTGATCTATGGTGAATTACGGGGTACATCTCTGCTGAATCTATGAAATTTTCCATTGATATGTTCAGGCAATGAAAAGTGACTGGGACCTTCCAAGGGTTGCATGGGGTTCGCGGGCCTTGTTGATGGGGCGTTACGAGCTCCAGATTCGTGACCTCATTTTATCCCCGTGCTCGTGTGCATCGGAGCACTCACTCGTTTCCGTTTAGCAATAACCCGGCCAACTACGTCCTCCTGGTTCACACTTGCAGCTCCATGCAAATGCGTTACTATTTCCCAGAATTAGATTCAAATGGATGATAGCATATTTTTATCCATCTACCTTGCAGAAGACTCGAAAGTCCATGTCAACCCTACCCGACTCCAACACCGATCCTAACTGTGAACAGCTGGTAGTGTTGGGTGGGTATCTAGAATATACCCTCCCCGATTCTCGTTCGAAATTCCAGATACGGGATATGGTCTCACGGTTGTTTGATGGGGGGTGACAACGCAGCTTTGCCCGAGTGGCTACTTCGCAAATTTGAAAACGGACAGAACTCTGCTGGCACTCTCTGACACTTACGCCTTTCAGACTTGCAATTAAGTTCCAGTGCGGTGGCTTTGTGCAGATAAGGGGCGATCGCAGGACAGGGGTGCCTCCTGTGACGATGCGCACGCTTGTTTTTCCACGCAACTCAGTCAAACGGTTGCTTTGGTCAATCTTTTTAAGCCGGTCGTCACAGCCTTACGGTAATACGTGCCCGATCACCCAAGGTGGGAACTGCAATTCAGCAACGGACCCACCCATCCAGAGGGGAAAACCCGGCACTCTGATTGGTTTATTCGTTCGGCCGAGGCCAGCCAAGGGTTCCAGGGCTTTACGGCCCTTCCAGTTGCTACCTTGGCTAGTGCACAATAAACTCTTGTCTCCGGTCGTAGCAACAATAAATTACTGCGTAGAAAATGCATGCAAGATATTTTTTGCACATAGGAACTAGACCTCAGCTTAGATAACTTCGGCACGATGCAGTCAGTTAGACAGCATGGAAGGCCGAGGTCGGGTCTTACACGCATCAATCAAGTAAAGTCACGCTCTTACCATTCCGTTTACGAAGTCTCCCGTGGTATTCGCCATGCCAAAGTGCCCGTGGATATTAGACAGTCCACTCAGTTGGCATGGTTACGCTTGGCAGCCTTACACCGCCTTCAGTATCCCATGATTTCGCAGACGTTTGAATTGAGTGAAAATGAATTTCTCGGAAAACACTAGATCTAATATGCAAATCATGTTTCCATCTTTTTATTTTACTTCTCGCATTGACGTTTTCGCTTTGTGAATAATTTTATTTCAATCGATTCTCTCCCGCGGATTTGCAAGTCACGAAATTTATTTGCAGTTGTCGCTCGGATGGCCGCTGAGCTCCCTGGAAACATTGTGTAACTAACTCAACTCCATGGATTGACGAATTAGGAACCCTCGTAATCCTGTATCTTCTGCCTGCTTCATACTGTGTTTGGGAGCACCGGGACTTATGCAATGCGGCCAACGCACCAGTGTGATTTTCGCTGCATCACGGCACGAATAATATACTTGTTGCATTATGATAGATCCACAGTCGAGAGACAATTGCGAGCGTTCATTGAGAAGCGTTGTACTCATAATAGTTAGGGCACTGGAGTTGCCAGCTTCGTGAGATTTGGCTTTCGCTGGCACCCAGTAATCACCTAGTGAGTCACAGTTTCTGGGCCAAACCGCTTCACGCGGCTCGCTCAGACTAGAATGATGCACCCATGCCAGTTAGTGTGGAAATTTGTTATTGGATACGGGGATGTTCGATGAAGAGAAAGATGAACTAATTATTCTTACTGGTACGCTACATGTGGTTCGAACAGTTACGAACATAGTTGCTAGGGCCGTCGACAGCCTCTGAGGCCATGTGTACCTGGCGGAACACAGAGGTCCCTTGCAAACTTTACGCTCTATTACTCCCACAGTTTTCACCTGGAACTCTATGATAACGTTCGATTAAATTCATGGCCAAGCCAACTTTGGTTTCTCCTTGTCTCTAAAATGATTGTGAGCATACGTTTACTGACGCGAGCCTGATATGCTCATACATCAGACAGTGTTTGCATGCATCCCAGTCTATCTATTATTATTAACTTCTTGCCCACAAATACTTTTTGGTAACTTTCCCTGCACATCGCTTATTGCCGTAGCTGTCCCGTGACTTGGATGAATCATGTGGCTATTCTCCGCTGTCATCGTCAAGTGATCACTTTGATTTGCTCGTTGTGGAACAGATCGTGTTGCCGAAAATAAATAATTCTCGTGTCATATTCGTTTCTTACAGCCAGTTTACTTTACAGTTCGGTCTTAGCTGCGACCCGATAAACGATTTTGTGAAAATCAAACGAAATTTGTAGCTCCGTCTGACTTCGTGTTTAAATGAGCTCGAATCTTCGAACTCCAGAACATCAAATGAACCAAGTTTGCCCTGATTTGGTATATTTTCCGCCAACTGGAACATTTTCATCATCTACTCAGCGTGAAGTGCTTCCTTGTGCATCAGTAGCCTGAAAACGGCCGCAGAGTGGTGACATGGTTATCCGGTCTTTATGGTTGTTTAGTTGTCCACATACCCAGTTCCATTTCCAACACCTACATCACAACAGGGCTTCGGTTCTGCTTACTTTGCACATATGGTGCCTGGTTTTGGCACATTTTGAACTATCTGCTGTCGATACTATCCGACTACTTGGCCACAAACGAGACAACCAAAATTTTGAGACACCCAGCGACGCTTTTCGTCATTCAGCACCCCAACCAAGGCCCGCAAAACATGCTTGAATCTATCCTCATCGGAGCTGTACCACAGTACGGCCACAAACATTTTTTTGAAAAATGATATCATTACGGAGTATTACCCTCCAGTTAGCCTAGAATGAGACTGCTTCATTACTTTCTCCGCATTGGTTGTGATCCCTGACCACTACATATCATCATTGTAAAGTTATTCGTCTTTCTGGCTATTTGTAATTTAACGTCAAACCTCCCCACGGGCTTTATTTCAACTGTGGATTTACATCTAAGCACTGTCTGTTCTCCTTAAATCGATATTCAGGCACAAATGTCTCAAATGTCTATTAGATTCTCAGGAGGAATTTTCCCCAATTTTCTTGTCGAATGAAAACCCATTAACCAAGAGAATTATTTAGTGCTGGAATGTATCTGGCAAAACCTAAACAGTTGCAAAATACTAGCACAATGCTGTTTAAAAGGCTGAAAAATTACCGACGGATTCGTGGTCTAAGAAATGATACACCCATGCACGCCCACGTGCACAGGTTGTTACCGTGCCTCTGTTGTTTTTTATTTGGGGATTCGTGGGGTCACAAGCTGATACACAGAATCAAAGCCTTTGCCCTCATCGAGTCTGGTTTGCATCTCTCGTCCAGGAGCCATCGTTTGTCCGAAAGACATGAGAGATGCGTGTGGAGTTGCTCCTCAGCTCCTCAGCGCAATACCTTCATAAAAAAGCATTGGAAATGCTTCGTTATGGGCTGCAGGCTTAGCGTTGATAAATGTTCAGAAAGGTTGTTTGATGCACCAATCCAATAAAATGAGAATGTTTTCTAACGAAAGTGTGCAGCCTGAGCCCGGAAATCCTGCCATGTCTCAACGTGTATTGCGTGAGTCAGCAGTGAAAAGTTGGCGGTCAAACCTTTTTCCAACAGGGCTTGAGTGAGCATTACGTTCCACCAGGGCGCGATGAGCAAACTAGGCAAAGTTAGGGTCTATCCTGCATCCGGAGCTGAAAACTTTGTTAGCGTTTCCAAGAAGCACTCTAAGATGTGCTCCATAATGCACCTAGAACTCAATGCGAGTCATTTGGGGAAATTGGAACAAGTCATTAGATACATGACACGTGCCTTGTAGGCCGAATTTTCATGCTGAAATTATTAGCTTATGCTCGAGGAGAGACAGAACTAAACTGTTTACTAACCATCTTTGCAATTTTTTGTGGTTCATTCGCTTCATGCACAGCGAAGGCCTCGGCTGTTTCTCCTCCCAGGAACATATGAACGCCCTTTTCGTTGCTAAGAGCAAGTTGCCAGTCCAGTGACCGCTGAACTGCGACGTAGATAACTGTGTAAAGGCGCCAATATTGGAACTCACAGACTTCAATTCATCCGCACAGAGCGGAAATGGACACGAAATTCCTTGTGGAAGGACATGAGATTATACCAAAATGAGGGCCAGTCCTAGAACGGAGCCCATTAATGGAGATTGGTACTACCAAACTCACGTTCACTCGTAATGTTGTTAGTAAGATGAATGCCTTTGGATTTCATAACACTCAAGCTTTAGGAATAGGCGATCGAATGCTTTTTGGGAGACAAGTAACTGGCACTCGATCTGACACCTTCGTCTCTGACCTGTGTTCAATTCTCCGTAAATGCGAGCATTTTCAGTCCTGGTGGAAACTGTGTTGCGCTGGAGATAACACGTTTTTGAAAGTAAGGGAATTTAGGGTGCCTTGCATCAGAAGGCGTGCATCATCTTACACGGTACTCTAGTCATGTGAATAGGTCCGTAGGTGCCGGGAGCTAATTGGTTACCAAATTTGCAAATTGACGTGGCAAGCACTTCCTTTGAGCATTAGGAAGTTTGTTGTCGTTGAGCGGGTGACCAAACATCAGTCCGCCGATGTGGGCGACGATTCCTCCGGGGTCCTTTAGTGAACCACATACGGATCCAAGTCTCTGAAGAGATTGGTTTCGTGTAAGAGTTATCAAAAATCCTCCTCAAGTATGAACAAATCAGTCAGATGTTGCCCATAGTCGCGCCTTGCCAAGTTGGATGTGACGTGTTGGCTGTGGCAGGCTACAGCTCTGTATAATCTCTCTGAGCTTCAGATAATATTATTGGGTAACTCATGGATTCCCACTTTCTGTTCCTCAATGAGAAGGCGGTTGGTATTGGCTTACGCACCGAACTTACATATTTCTTGTTTTTACTGGACAGGTCCGTTACCCCACCTCCCCTTATTTTTCATTGTCTGATTTCTTGTTTAGAGCGTTTTGAAATTTTGAAAAATTCCAGCTCAGCTTCTGCTCTCCAAAGTTGTCTCTGTTGCTGTAGGCGTCAAATCTTTCTGTTCGTTTGCTATCATACCAACCTCTTTAATGCGAGTACAGCATCACCTTTGTGAATTTGCCGGTCGTTGATCCCATATATCTCTTCCACTGAAGGTGGTACCAATTTCAGGCGTTCAGGGACGATACGCAGTTTTGAGCAATCTGCACGGCAGACCTGAATCCACGTTGGATTTTCATGGTTTCTGGCCTAATAGCAGACAACATGGTCATTATGTCCCAGTGGAACCTCAGAATAATTATACAACAATAAAATAATAAGTTTATTTTTCAGCTTGTAAGGGGTATGCCAAATGAGGTAGACTCCCATTCGGAGTAAATCGAAATTAATTCGCCAAAACTATGGAGTTTTCGAACTCGCGACTTTTACGGAGACTTTGTCTAATCCCTTAGCACGTTTCAATGGTATGTTGCTAACAGCCGCATTTAAAAGGGAGAATTTTTAACGGTCACCGGCCGCCACCGATTCGCGTGGGAGTCCGAGTTTAAGAGATGAAGCGCGAAGTGTACTCCTACCGTATTTAAACTTTCCATGGTGTTCTTTAAATGAAAGATAACATCCACAAAATATACATTG